CACCTGCCTTGAGCGAGCAGCCGGCTATTACAGAGCCGCATCTGACGCGGGCGGGCTGACGAGGTAGCGGCGAGGGGACGGTCAGTGACGGGCCCCCTGATGGCCGCAGGCCCTCGGTCCGTGCCCGACTGCCCGATTGGTCAGTCCGCCCCTGATCTGGTGTGAAAGAGCCCTTAGAGCTATAAGGATTACAAACCCAGATTTACAGATCTCTGGTTTTTGGAATTTGAATAAATCTGGCAAACTGAACTAAATGAAGGGCTGCATTTGTTTCAAGCTAGATATATTTACAGGGTTATTCACAAATGGGTGAAGAGTCTGGAGAAGGCAGGAGAAGTGAACAATCTAGGACAAAATAGATGATTTTGAAAAATTCGCCAATTCAGCTCACTTTCCAGTTCAGCTATGTTGTCCTAGATTGTTCACTTCTCCTGCATTCTCCAAACTCTTCACCATTTTATGAATAACCCTGTTAATATTGGGCTCAAACCTCATTATCGTCACACCCAGGACCCCAAAGGTCACATTGCAGGCCAACCCCACAATCTTCATTCCAGCAGAGTCTAGGTACGGCTTCCAGGATTATGCCGATCCAGGTAGCTGTTGGGCAGAGACAAACTCAAGCAGCATTTCTTAAATGTTGACTAAAGTCACCAAAGAAAAAATATCAATGGAGTATCTTAAATGAAGAAAATAATAAAAGAAAGAGAACATGATAGAGCTTTTCTCAGCAGAGCTGAGGAAAAGGCATCCAACCTTCTAGGACACTAGCACAAAACTGAGGCTTAATAGGTTGGAGGCAGAGGTATATGGGGGCTGGCTTAATGTTTTTTGTTTGGAAGTGGCGTAACCTCCTGAACGCAGCAGATGTCCAAGAATCACTATATTTCTGTGTCCCTCTTCACAAAACATAAACGGGACTGCTTCAAATCAGTTTTATGCAAAAGCATTACATATTTTATTATTATGCATACCAAGTTTAAAGGACTAAAAATAAAATCTATGATGTGGCTTACTACTATTGTTAAAAACCCCCCCATAAAAATAAGATTAGGCCATATCCCTGGAGGGTTACAAAGAATTTGATAGGAGTTGTAAAAGGTAAGTCAGGTTTTTAAAAATATAAAACGGAAAGGCAGAAGTGATGAATTGTGTTGGTGGTTTAACCCCTTTTGACCTGTCGTACACATATACATGTGAACTACCTTAATATAACATCAGTTAAATTATATATTTGCCTGTTACTGCTGTCAGGGTGCATTGTATAATCCCAGGTTCGGTCCGGGCAATAGTTCCATTCTATTTCTTCAGCAGCAATATAATATGTGACAGTACGGAAGGCAGGTGATTCTTTAGCAATGAGTTTACCACATGCATTCACCCTGTAGTGCTGTCTCATTCCGCTTGTGTAATGGTCAGCAGTCATACATTCCACATTAAAAACACCTGATAGGAAGACAAACATATGTTAGTTACTACAGGGACATGCCCATGTATTGAAAATAAAGCTTCCCTAAGTATTTTCAACATCTGACCCAAAATGCAAATCGGTACAATAATGTATAATGGTAGTACAAACTGATCATGTCCTGTCCTGTAATACACTGTTCTATAAAAGGCATACATGAAGGTGGTTAAACTGGAAATGTTTTCTGTCCCTAGGGGTTTCTGGTTAGATGTTGGATGTGCTTGTGCATGTCCAGTATTATCACTCCTGAGCTTTGCACCATGCTCACCTTCATTGTCTGGTGTCATTACAGCAGAATATGAGACATGTGGAGTAATGCTCACAACATCCCTTGTGTTTTTATTTATCTGGATAGTATTTCCTGTGAAGTGAATTCCATGAATATCAATGACGGAACCAAGTCCCAGAAAATGCCAGCGTGCTGTAGATCCTACACACAAATCTAGGCCGTATTGATTCCCATACATGTACCCATTGATAGCTGTAAAAATGAAAAGAAATCAGTTCCATCACTGATAAAATCCTTCAAAAGAACCTTAGTGAAACCATGTTCAAATTCAGGACCCCAAAAAGGCTTCAAAAGTTAAAAAAAACTAAAATTACAATTTATTTTTTGGTCAAGTAAAAAATGTAGTAAGGTAGAAATAAACTGCATACGAATATTTTGGATTCTTTCAAGCTGGCTATACACATTACAATCTAATTGTTTCATCACCTTTGGATCTACCGAAATGTTGTAGCTTGAAGGTCTGCTTATAGAATGTATTTAATTTACAGTATATCTAATCTGACAGTCCCCCTTTTAAATTCATTACAGCTAAAGGAAATTGTGCAATCAGATTGTATGGTCATCTTTATCCAACCAGCAGATAGAACTTTGAGGCTCATTTTTCTTATGTTATGCATTTTCTTTTTACCTCCTCCTGTTTTGTTGTTTACAGGGCTCAATGGCTCAAGCTAAAAAATTAACTCACACTTTTCCTTCTCCTTTTTTGCTGCTGTGCTCTCTCTTTATCTAAGCCATAGTGGTTTGGAATTGTTTGTCATCTACGAAATGTTTATTTGTAAAACAATGCTTTCTGAAGCACCTAAATCACTAGCTGAATTCTATGTGCACCAAGCCATACTTTGCTAGAGTTCTAGTTATCCTGGGTGCCGGTTGCTGCAATGGAGAAGGGTTTATTTAAATGTAGACCTAATCGGAGTAGATTTCACTTGCTTTGTGAAGATCTGGACAGTGTTAAGGCAGATTACTTAATATAACTATTTGTCAATCACTTGAAGATTTGGGTAGTGCTAAAGCAACCTATGTGCACAACACAGTACTTCTCAATACTTTTATACATAAAAGACTGAGGACTGCCATAAAAAAAATTCTCAATGCATAATTCCACATCTGACAGTTCAGATATTCTTGTATTTGGCTCCTCAGTGAAGTGAAGATTTAAGTGAACAATTGTTTTTCCTAGCCAATATAAATTATTTATTTTTCTTTATATTATGTATATACAGTATATTGTTAGCATACTAAAATGTAGGAAAGAATAGGATAAGATCTAAACCAGAGAGTCTAAACTTACAATGCATATTATTAGACTCCACGAAATCAGGATCGTTCACGTCCACGGATTCTGGGTTGCCTGCAAATCGATTAATGTTGTCTTGCAGGTACCAGCTTTTGTTCTCATCAAATACAGTAGGCATCATCACAAAATCGTAATCTGCACCTGTCTGCAAAAGGTAGAAGAAGTTTATCCCTGTCCTCGGATTCAAGGAAAGGAGTAGTACTCTTTCTAATTCAGCAAAGAGCCATATAGAATTTAGTTTAGACACCATAATTGTGAGATCCCTTTGAAGTCTTGAATCACATGTGATACACCTGTGCAGAAGTATAACACTTAGGCAATTGCTCTGACAAATACTGATATTTTAGATTTTGGTAGCTGATGGAAGTGGAACTAGCTTTCTGTATATTTTAGCAGCAATGATTCCACATGGGAATATTTGCCACTGTCTCTGACAAAGTCTAATTAAGGAATTTTACCTCATCTGTTGCATTTTTCTAATGTAAAATAATCCTGAAAATCCAGATTAGACAAGAAGGCCTCATTACACCTCCATAGGTTGTGAGATCTGCCATTGGAGTTGATACAGATAAAAAATACTGGTCCATTTAAAACTGAAGCATCAATTTGCTTAGAAGTGCCCTAAACAAAGAAGGAGAAGTATTTACCTGATTGGTGCTAGTCAATTTATTACACACTAATAGCGGACCAACAAGGCCAGAGTTGGTGTCTTTGACTGGATCCACTGATGAGTAATAGAGCCATGCTATGCAGTTCAGATCTTCACTGGTGGGAGCCACACTGTCTGGTACTTTCCACTGATATGTCACAGTGTCTCCTGGAGCCACGTGGGAAGGACGGGATTGACCATTCTGACCAGTAGTGATAAAACCTGTTAGAAAACAATAATATATTTTCTTTATATTGTTTTGCACAGTGTTATAAAATTAACTTTAATACAACTACAACTGTTTGTGTTACACAAGAATTACACGTTTGTGTTAGTGTTATAGATGTGTCACCATATAAAAAAAACAAAAACATACCCTATAACTCAATTTTCAATCAGTTTTTGTTCTGAATACTAATGTATAAAATGGGTGTGCAGCGCTCAGGGTCACCGGTCGGTGAACAACAACTATCTAAACGTTAAATCCGTGCTTTATAAATTAAGGTGAAGTGAATATTCAAAGTCTCTATTGAATATACTGCCAGTTTGATTATCCTACTGTGCAAAATCTCTATTCAGTGCAAATGTGCAATATATATAAATAGATGCATAAATCCCATAATATTTAACACAATATTTTAAAACAATTTTAAGTGTAATAAATACCTTGTGATAAATTAAGATTCCATGCATCACACACAAAGTGATGAATAATAAAGTGGGTCAATAATATCACATCTTATTATACCATAAGAAGGTGCATCAAAAACTTGACAAAAAGAATCAATAGCAAAGGTGATCAATGATATAGTGTATCAAATATAAAGTCTTATAAAATGATGACAATAGTTCAAAAAGGTGTTTGTGGGTGTTAAAAAATCCTTTTTTCCACACCCTGTGTAAGTGTCCACGCCACTCTCCCCTCTGGGGTGCGTACTTACCACATTGTAATTGACTGTAGGCAATAAGAGATGCGGTCTCAGCAGCAGTCCCAGTGGTGTCCCATGGGTCGATGGTTAACGTAAATTAAAAAAGAAAACTCCTCATGGTGTTGTAAAGTATTAACATTTATTTAAAAATTGTATACACTCACAGTTAAAAACTAATGAATCAGCCGGTATTTCCGTGTAGTACGTGGTATTGAGGTGTGTAGCGGGGTATTTCCGTGTAGTACGTGGTATTGAGATGTGTAGCAGAGCTACACATCTCAATACCACGTACTACACGGAAATACCCCGCTACACATCTCAATACCACGTACTACACGGAAATACAGGCCATCTGTACGCCGCCTGTGACCGGCTGATTGGACTATTGTCATAATTTTATAAGACTTATACTTGATACACTATATCATTGATCACCTTTGCTATTGATTCTTTTTGTCAAGTTTTTGATGCACCTTCTTATGGTATAATAAGATGTGATATTATTGACCCACTTTATTATTCATCACTTTGTGTGTGATACATGGAATTTATCACAAGGTATTTATTACACCTAAAATTGTTTTAGAATATTGTGTTAAATATTATGGGATTTATGCATTTATATATATTGCACATTTGCACTGAATAGAGATTTTGCACTTTATATTTCACCAGCTGCCAGTAGGATAATCAAACTGGCAGTATATTCAATAGAGACTTTGAATATTCACTTCACCTTAATTTATAAAGCACGGATTTAACGTTTAGATAGTTGTTGTTCACCGACCGGTGACCCTGAGCACTGCACACCCTTTTAATACATTCTTTGACCTTAGTGTCCTGATTGTAGCTGCTCTAATATTGGTTATGTATTTCTTAATTGTCCATAAGCGCAGATTTTATAAACTTCACTTTTGTTCTGAATACTGCAGAAATGATAAAATCTAGTAGCTATGGTAGCCATACACTCTATGAATTTTGGCCGGTTCTTGATGAACCAGCCAAATTCGGAGCCAAAAAGCTGCTGGCTCTGTTTGGGTATTCTGACAGTGGCAGGCAGCCCCTGTCGGAATACAATGAAGACAGTGAGAGATTCCTCCATTAACACTCGTAAGTGTTGATGGAGGAATCTGACACAGGTTGAACTAAGACAATATTACAGTCCATGGCCAGCTTTAAAGTATACAGTACATAAACTCATGTAAGTGAAATCAAGTATATTCACATCATTTAAAAAGTTATTTTTTTTTTAAATCTAAAGCTTTCATAACAAAAATTCCTGGTGATCCTGCTATGAAAACCCTTTCTGAGGCATTTCCTGTTATAGGGTGACAACATCCTGTCTCTGTCTACCATTTGTACTTCTTCTTTGGCACCATGTCACATGCATTAGCAGTGTAGATTATAAGTGGCCATGTCGACGCTTATTCCGCCATTGCCATTATCAAAAAGTTCACCCCAAGATGCAGCTGCTGCTGGAGTGCATGCATGTAGACAGGAAATGGCTGCACAGAGACTGCAGGAAATCAGCAGTGCAGATATGCAAAACGAGATGACAAAAAGGTGAAAACAGTATTTCTTTGAAGAAAAAAAAACCTGAGAAGTGTTTATGCTACACAGTGCTTTAGCAAATTCAATGACCATCCAGTTAGGATTCAAATCCACTATTAAGCAGACTTATACTGTTAACCTATATTTATAGTTTTGCTTATATGGTTAAATAAAAAGTAGTTAGAGGGCTGAAATACCTTTCTTGAAGACAAAGGGATGTTCAAGGTTGTACATACATTAGCTTTAATTGTAAAGGTAAGAGGAAGTAATCGGAAGCCTGATCACACCATGGGTTAATAAATAACCATAGTAAGTTACCTTTAGCAGTATCACCAGTTTTGTAGACAGCACCTTCCATATCCTTTCCATGGCTCACTCCGTGGACCTGAATGCTGTATGGATGCCTTGCATTATTCTTAAATATAACCTCAATAGTATCTCCTACCTGTGCTCGAAAGACGGGTCCTAATAATTAAGAGAATAAATACAATTTATAATGACAAAAAATAAAACACGTACCTCCATATGCTTCAAACTAAAGAGAATCGAAAACTGGCCACATGCATCATGGTCTTCATCAAAGAAATGTTTATTTTAGAGCCTATTTGCACTTTGCACATTGTCCACACATCAAAAAAACACACCCGCCATATTTTTTTTCCAGGAGGGAGTTATCTGATCTGTGTATTTGCATCGAGGTGTCTTTGACAATGAATGGCAATGTACTACAACACATTTACACAAGACCTGATTGCACTGAGCAAAAACGCATGGAAGTGACCTTAAACTGCTTCTATATGAGGCACCCCTGACCTTAATCTTCCCTTAATCATTATTTCCTCATATTTAATCGGGGACACAAAATTGTATTAAAATAATCACCACACCTGCCCAGGTATATGATTATTGTACACATTTTCAATTGTTTCCTGCAGCATCTTTTAAGTTTGTTACAGTTTGACATATAGCTGCACCATTCATTTTGGTCATACTGTGCAAATTTGGGCTTTTACTCTTTCAAAACTATTTTGAAAACATTGAATGTGACTTTCAATTACTGTCATTTAAAACACATGCACCTGAAAGATTCACCAGGTCTAAATGTTTGCTGAATGTCAGATTCACTCATTTACAAATATGCCCCTTAGGTTTATTTGACTGAACTTTGCCATGAGCCCATTTATTCACTTATATTTATTCAAGTATATTTGTCCCAGGCTGAAATGAAAACCACAACCGCCTCATTTTTCTATATCCTTGGCCTGTTCACAAAATTGGAATTTAATTGGACCCCATTTTATCTACGTTTACCCTTGAGATAAGTTCCTACCCCAACACCATAGTTATAGATGGCTAATGCATTTTAACAGAACTCAATGGAGTAGATTATGATTAGAAGGCTGTTCATTTTCACTTAAAGTGGACCTTTACTCCCTTTGACTAAAAATCACATTATCATGCTGCTCTGCATGCTGACATGAAATCATCTTACATCTTACATTCATTAGTTAAACAAACATATTTGTATTTTACTTACAATTTCTTTCTTTCTACTTCCTGGTTCTCTTTGGCACAAATTATGTAATCTATGCCAAAGCGTTGAATCCTGGCAAAGTTACATCAGCAGAGCATTGCTGGGAAATCTCATCTGCAATTTCATGAAATCTAGTCACATGTGCGCTTCCACGCCTCCTCCCCCCCGCCCGCCCATTTGGTGTGAGCCAGGGAAGAAAAGTTGCAGCCATCAAAGGACACATATTGTCACCATTGCCATAAATAATGTATATTTTGTCTGTGAGGAGAGAACGATAGCATGCTGGGTGACAGACTTTCTAGAAAACTCAAAAATTACATACTGTATATAATGCCATCTGTCACATGCATTAGCACAGCAGCATTTGTTTTTCTGACTTTCCCCATAGTATAGTTTTATTAAAGTGGTTATCCTGCTAGTAGAAGCCATATATTTGTCTACTTCCTTTGACAGGTCAAGCTGTCCAGCAAATGTTTCAGTGACAGCGATTGAGACAAACTCTTTAACACTGACAAGGTTCGCTTACAGTGGCCAACTTTTATTCATATGACTTAAAAGAAAAATAATGTTGTAACTGCTTAAAAAGTTGTAGCTGGAGTTAGGCTTCAACGTTTGTCATTTGTTTAAAGTCCAGCTAACTTAAAACTATATATCTATCTAAGACTACTCAGTTCAACAGGGAGTGATTTCACTGCAGAATGAACAGTGTTGTCATCTTATTACAGGGAGTGAAAAAAACAACTGATCTTACTATATTACAGGAGGGCCTTAGAAAAACAAAAACTTTTTCTGATATTGGTAGAAACAGACTGCATTATACAGTTGTGCTCATAAGTTTACACACCATGGCAGAATTTATGATTTCCTGGCCATTTTTCAGAGAATATGAATGATAACACGAAAACCTTTCTGTCACTCATGGGTAGTGTTTGGCTGAAGCCATTTATTATCAATCAACTGTGTTTACTCTTTTCCAATCACTAGTTTCTGTTGTCATTATGATTGGAAAAGAGTAAACACAGTTGATTGATAATAAATGGCTTCAGCCAAACACTACCCATGAGTGACAGAAAGGTTTTCGTGTTATCATTCATATTCTCTGAAAAATGGCCAGGAAATCATAAATTCTGCCAGGGTGTGTAAACTTATGAGCACAACTGTAGATGTAGTTTTGGATTTTGCCTATGGTAACACTTTAAAAGAGACCCTGTTGCCAGACTATTTCAACAACAATCTTCCCAGGAGATTTATATCTGCAATTATTGTATCTACTGCATTTTATTTACCTTTAAAATACCTCACTTGTTTACATATCCAAAAGCCCTGAGGATGCTGCTGGGCTTTGCTACTTTGGATGTGATGTAAGTAGTCCCAGCAGACTCAGACCTCTCACTGAAGGGACAAGCTATAGTATTGCCCTTTGCTCCTTCCCCAGCGGCTACATAAAAGTTTATGTATGGAGCTGAGGCAAGGGGTGCAGGAGCTGGGCCAGCACAGAAAGTGATTAGATACTCCCCAAAGAGGAAAGAGGTATGATGTGCAAGAAGGGAGAAGGCCGTGCTAGGGAATTGCCTTCCTGGAGTAGGCTATTTTTTTTTAGTACGTTCAAAGGTACATTGCGAGTGAATAAAAATGAATTATGGAAATGACAAAAACCTGCATGTAAGCAGGTAAAATGCTTGATTTTTACCTGCAATCTGTTAATTTGGTGACAGGGTTGAGTATGGTGTTAAATATTCCATCACCACAAAAGGCAAATACAATGTATGAAAACTAATATGTGTCTAGAAGTTCATTGTGCAATTTTACTATGTACTCTAGCTAGCCTTACACTGTTAAAGGAGAACTATGAGGTGAGTGAAAGTCACTCAACCTCATAGTTCGAGCAGACATGTGACAATGAAACTGTCACACATCGGCTCAATACATCGGGAAGTGAGCGAACGCATACCGTCGCTCGCTCACTTCTCGATCATGTCCCTGCAGAGAGCCGTGACTGTCAGTCACCCCTCCCTGCAGGGATTCCTCCCCGTTCCGATCCTCCAGCGCTGACTGGAGGAACGAACGGGGGAGGGGGTGGGTACAGCTGGCTCAACCTCTAGATAGGCAGAGCCAGCTGTCACTCACGCAGCTGGGCGGATCTCGACAGCATTGTCCGGATCCGTCCCATGCTGCGGCGATCTTAGTATAGCGCAAGCTATAGCTCGCGATATGGTGAGCTTTGGGTCACGGGTGGACGCTAGTTGATGTCCTCCCGTGACCCTTAATAGAACTATGGGGAAAACACTTATCCCATAGTTCTCTTTTAAATTTCATTCCATGGAGCTGAACATGAGAAATCATTAGATTCCCCATCCATGCTAAACAGGGTGGATAGAAGAATCTCCGCTACCAACTATTGTTTGAGCAGTGGCTGCTGAACACCCGAATAGTGCCTGCTTCTGATTGGTTGCAGACAATGTTCAGCTGACAATTTTTTGAAATTGAATAATCAACTTTTGTCAAACGAGGAGGTGTCAACATGGTCATCCACATTTCGAATTCAGGCAGTTTCTGAAAAATGGGCCATGTATGGACAGCTTTTGTCTCTCAGGGTCCTATAAACTCCTTGGGGATATCTGGAAGCACTGCAACCAGTTCTAATGTGTAGTGTGTGGACAGGTTAAGGGCTAAACTACACCAATAGTTCTAACCTCATTCTTCAGAAAAATTTAACCATTTGTAGAAAGTCAACTAGTTTGCATCACATTTGTTTTAATTGGGCTGCAAATGAGGTAACTGCTATCAAAAGAGTAACTTCTGCAGTTGCATAAGATTAAAATAGCCTGTGTACTTTAATACAACATAGACTTATCAATGACACATTTCCATACATCAAGCATCTATTTTGTACCGCTCTGTATTTCTGTAAGAAGAGTGTAGTAAAATCACCAATTACCCAGAATTCCAAGATGTATTTCGTTTTGGGATCGTGGTTTCTCCTTAGTGAATGTTGAGTCTGTGAATTCCCTATACACGGCTTTCATATAACTTCCTCCAATTCTCAAATCATTTTGCTCAAAATATTTTGCTGAGTCACTGCAAATGATTGATAATAGTGTGAATGATATTCTATGGTATGATTATCATTTGGTTAATTACATATTCTGATTAAACAGGAGGTTTACACAATGAGGATTACCTTATTGTATTGTATTAACGTAAGCATATTCAATTATATTTACATACACATGACTCATTTACATAAAGTCAAACTCCAGAAAAAACTTATTTTTTTAGGGATTGGACATAGCGGCGTACAAATAGAGGGGGGATCGGGGGGTTGTCTCTAGTGGTTCCCAAAACGGTGATCGTGATGTAGAAGAAAAAAGGGAGCGCCACAGTGGTATTATCAGTTCAGTAAAGCTCTACTATACATGAAAAGAAGTCGGTGCAGTTCGGGGGGGCCAAAAAACTCAGGGCTTAAAATGCCAACAACAGACAGGATTATTGACGAGGATTATTGAAAATACATTCAAGAATTTAGAAAATAACATTTCAATTATAGAAAATACATTCAAGTGACACTACATTCAGGAGTTAAATCTTAAAAATACATTCAAGTATCTTGACTATTAACAAACATGTATCCTATTTGTGTATCATTCGGTTGTAGATCCTCAAATCATCTCTGAATTGGTGCTGTCCTTCCTTCTGGAGGGTGGCTACTTTTGTTCCCCATGGTCCCTGAGTGTGTTGTAAAGTATCCACCACCCCAAGCTCACTCCTGTAATGGACTACAATCTCATGCGCTGGCGGAACCACCAGGGTTGCAGCGGTCGCATTTGCTATCGGGCCCTGGCGTTCTGCCACTTGGGGGGTGGGCCCGGACTGAAGGGGCACCAGGCCTGGGATTTTCTTTTCTACATTTAGCCCTGCTTCAGCAAGCACGGTTAAATGTAAAGCAGAACAGCCATTTTGTATGAGTGATTTCAGTGGCTATACAGATACTGAAATCACTTGTATGCAGCCTGCTTGTCAGGCCCCTCCATGTTTTTTGTGTTTTGTATAGGGTGGACTGGAGGGCCCTTCATGGTTTCTTGCACCGGGGCCCTGAGCAGGGCTGTAGCTACCATGGCACTCGCCTCAGGCGCAGCTGAGAGGGGGCACAGCCAGGGCCGGCCTGGCTGTGCACAGGGCGCCATTGGCAACAGGGGTGCCAGGCGGCCAACACAGCCACGGCCAACACAGCCACGGCTTGGGGAGAAGAGGAGCGGCACAGGCTCCAGCTTCTCTTCGGCTCCCCGCTGCTCTCCCCCACCTGTATGGGCAGAGGCACATGCGTGCCGCCATCCTGGAGGCGGGGCACATGATGTCACATACTGCACACGTCTGTTGGGGGGAGGCACAATTTTCTGTTCTTGCCTCGGGCGCAAAAAGAGCTAGCTACGGCTCTGGCCCTGAGGTTCCTAGTTACGCCTCTGATCTCATGTTTAGTTTACTAGTTGTATTGAAATTGTAGTCCATCATGGCAATGAGCTTGGAGTGGTGGTTACAACACACACAGAAACCACGGAGAACAAAAGTAGCCACCTTCCAGAAGGAAGGACAGTGTCAGCATGAATTCAGAGATGATTTAGGTGTGGTTCACACCTGTACGTTTTGTAACGTGTTCAACGCTCTACGAACGCTCTACAAAACGCTCAAACAAGAAAATCCCATTGTTTTCTATGGGTATGGCTCACACCTTGCCGTATTTCAGCCCGTCTGAACGCGCTACAAAACGGCCTACGCCTGAAAAGGTACATGAGCTTCTTTGCGGCGTTTTTGTCGCACGTTTTTTGTAACGCGAATCACGATAAAAACGTGCGTCACGAGACGCGCGACAAACGTGCATATTCGATACGCCTAGGTGTGAACAGAGCCTTAAGGATCTACAGCCGAGTGATGCACAAAATGGAAACATTATTGTTAATATTTAAGGTACTTGAATGCATTTTTAAGATTTAACTACTGAGTTTAGTGTTACTTTGATAGGGTATGCAGCTGTATTGGTTCAACAACAGTATTTACTGTGGTCTGTTACCCCATTGGAGAGATCTCCCCACATTTCCTGTCAGAGACCATAAGCAAAGTGAAATCTCCCTAAGGGTGACCATACACACTATAACCTGATTGCCCAACCCCTGTACATAACCTTTACATTTGCCAAAACTAATATGAGCACAAACCTAAACAATACATTCAATTTGTATCTAATTGTGCAGGCCACTGTATTACAAAGTTGTTGGTAGATCTAAAAGAGATTGTACAGTTTTTATAGTGTATAGTCAACTTAATAGGGTCAAGGACAGCACTAAGAATATAAAAAGTCCATCCAGGACTTTTACAGGGTTATTCACAAAAGGGTGAAGAGTTTGGAGAAGTGAACAATCTAGGACAACATAGCTGAACAGAAAAGTGAGCTGAATTGGAGAATGTTTCCCGTTCAGCTATTTTGGCTTAGATTGTTCTAGGCTGATAGACAGTTTGATTAATAAGGCTTCCGATAACTGCGTATTCATTTTTCTTCTTTGACCAATCTATCAGAAATTTCAAATGATTAGAAGCAGAAAATCCCTCTAAATGTTAGATAACAGTGCATAATGCGTTGGTGTGAGAACAACAATGTCTGCTTTTAAAGAGTCATCCTCTAAATTCCAGTTCCCGTGAGAGAATTTTAAGTTAGGCAGGAAGTGAAGGGAAATCTCCAACAACTACACTCATTTTTAGTAGATGAGTTAAATGCTTTAACCCCTGAAATTACAATTATCGGTGCACAGTAGAAGATGAGGGCAATGTTTCACACCCCAATAAATTAATGTATATCCATGATCATATGATCGTTTGAACCATTACCAGGTATGCAAGACCTGGAAAAGGGGGGCTTTTTAGAAAGATATTGCTCTCACTATGAACTTGATAAAATATAAAAATTGTATTTATTATAATTAAATTAAAAACATAATTGCATGTAAATATACGCAAATTTGGTACATAGGTTTTGTACATGGTTCAAATACAATACAGTAATTGTTTTGTTTTTTTAAACCCATATACTTTACAGCTCAGATTGTAAGTGAAATTACTTTTCATATTTTTTTCTAAATGATTCTTTCTTTTCTTACTGCTGCTATCATGGGCTCCCCCTCTCCATCCAGCCTACATTGCAGGATGGACCATTAGATACACAGCCGTAGCTCCTTATGAACAAAAAATATATAGCTATAAAACCTACCTCCCAGGAGCATCTAACTTTTGCCCAGTGAATTGGTTGATTGAGGTTGGACCATAGTTCCAGATGATCTCTAATGCAGCAATATAATACCGTCTAACAGTGGATTGATATTGAGAAGGAGGACCCAATTTGGAGCAGTTCCTGACTTCATAGATTGCCTGCATGCCACCTGTAAATCAAGATGATATTAAATGATTTGGTAATAATGTGCTTTTCCAAGTAACATTGTGGAACTGTTTTTGCTATCCCAATTTGGATTGCCTCGGACTGCTTTCTACCAATATTTGAAACTTAGACATGCCTCAACTTTCCAATTTGGTAGTGCCTCCCCAGAGTTCCATTCAACACCAGTTTTGGATACCCTGGTCGCTGCTTGCAATACCAAGGGCACTATTTCCTATTTATATATACGCTTAGTAACTAACTCGATATTACAATCACCTTTGAGTGTTAGGAGTAAGTGGGAAGATGATCTAGGCCCTGTTACAGATGAGGACGGGAGGAGAGTAGAGAGGGATGTTCTATCGACGTCCTTATCAACTTCTCATAGCCTTACTCAACTGTTATTTTACATAAGACTTATTGCACTCCAGAGTTCCTGTTCAAAGTAGGTGTCAGGAATTATCCTTCATTTCCAAAATGTGGTTTTCGCCAAGGTTCACTGATACATCTATTGTGGAGCTGTCCCAAACTGGTTATATATTGGGGTGCAGTGCTTAAGTGCTACACTCAGTCTTTGGTATATTGTTAAATAATACACAGAGAGTATGCATACTAGCACTCTGCGATGAGTTCATATACCATATTGGCTATACATAGAGCATTATTTACTGCTAGGCGACTGGATGCCTGAATGTGATGTCACTCCGGTCCAGGCACCTCTACAGGGCACGTGAGGGAGCTGTAAGCAATGCATATATGGATGGAGCTCCCTCACGGCCATAGCCCCATCCCACTCCACCTCAAGCCGACACATGGCATATTTGGAATGGCTGCTTGGCGCGAAAACTGACAGTGGAGCACTAGGGGGAGGCTGAGGAGCCTCTCACCTACAAAAGTGGTAGGAGTGTGATGACCCACTGAACACCCACTTTTGGGTCACGACCCACCAGTTGAGAACCAAGGGTCTAGATGGATACAAAACTGTACACAATAAAGGAATGTGTGGATTCTTCTATAATATTATAAGTTAGGCATATGAGGGAAGTTTATGAGAGTTTATGCTGTAATTGGAGTACTTTAGCTGGTGGTGGTTGATATATTTGGTTTTGTGTTTATATGTCTGCTTGTATGTTCATTATTTGTGTATTGTTTGAGTTATTGTTATGTATCTTCTCTTTTTTTCTTTTTGTGGGATGTTTGTTGGAGAAAAATATTTAAAAATAAAAAAGTATCTGATAAAAAAAAACAACTGAGTGGGACTACTGGGATCACAGAAAGTAAACATTTGTTCAGACCCAGAAGTTTTAGGAGGAGAAATGAGAGCAAAACCTTAAAAATGAATAAAAGGCACCAATATGCTGTTTTCAAAACTGTATAAAACTATAAAGCTTTAGAAAATGATTTACCTTCAAGATGTTCATTAACCTGAGAGGTGGCAAGCCACTTTCCGGGATTCTGTGTTAACATTGAAGCTTGAAGCATTGATGCAGGGAGGAGACTGATAGTGTCTACACGCCTGTGTTGGTATGTCAGTACGTGACCATAGAAATAGATAGAGTGTACATCTATTTCATTTCCCACAGTAAAAATGTACCACATTACATATGTGTTATCACATACAGAGAGGCCAGGAAGATTGCCAAACATGTATCCATTGATGGCTGTAACACAAAATTCAGAGTATATTGGAAACTACTGATTATTTAGAAACTACTGATTATTTAGAAACTACTGATTCAAATTTCAGGTATAAGGAGTGCCATATTTTCTGACATCTTGAGCACTGGCGTAACGACCAAGGTCGCAGTGGTCGCATGTGCAACCGGGCCCTGGTGTTCCACCACTTGGGGGGGCGGAATGGAAGAAGAGGGCCTGGCCCCAGTAACTGCCAAGGTACCGAGGCGGGGGCCTTTCATGGTTTCCTGCATCGGGGCCTGGAGGTTTCTAGATACCCCCCTGATCTTGACATCAAAATGTGTGAAAACTAAATTTGTACTTTTTCCCATAAGTTTTGTTGGAAGTCACTGCACACTGTCCAGAGGAGACACTGCCCATGTGCACTGCAGCAAAGTAACATTTGCAGATAAATAAAAAGTAGTCGAGGCACTCACAGGTCTTGTGCAGAAGTGTATGTTCAAACAGGAAGAGTTCATTCTGTCCAATGTTTCGATGAATCACAGTCAAGGCAAAATAAACTCCTCCTGTTTGAACATACACTTCTGCTTAAGACCCGGGAGTGCCTCTACTACTTTTTATTTATCTACTAAACTTTTTTTCCCATTCAGCCTGCAACAGGCCTCTAATAAGCAATAATAATTGTGGTCTAATAATTGTGATTGTCACATTAAAACAGGGAGGGTAACATTACCATCAAGAGTAGTAAGGATCAAGGTCAGATTTCCTCAATCCTGCAGGTACAAATCTTTGATGCTCAAAGCAACAACCTTCTACTAGGATATTATAAACTTTTAAAGATTTTATGTACATAGTTACAAATATATAAAACATCAGTTTTAGGGGCTGGGTTACAGAATATCCAGTGCGTTCCAGCACAGTTCGTACCTGGAATGCACCGGAAAACAAAAACAAAGCATCCTGCGTTCTGGGGCGGGAGGGGGCATGGTGATGCCATTTATGTTAATGGCTCAGCAGACATGCCTCCCAAGAACTGTGCCGAAACGTACTGGATGTGGTGTGAACTGGCCCTAAAGCATATTTGAAACAAAATAAAATTAAGCCAAACCAGGCAGAATCCCCCAGTAGCAAAAGGAAACTCTGACTGAGGCATTATCCTCGATGGAACGTGAAAATGTACTGTGAAAACAAAGCTCTAATTTGGTTTTTGAATGATCTAGGAAGGTGAGAATCTTACAGTACTTTAAATTGCTTTCCGTAAAGCCTTCATCTTCTTTATCCACTGAAGCAGGATCAGTACAGTAACTATTTATGTTATCATCAATATACCAGCTCAGGTTTTCATCTATCACAGATAACATTAAGACATACTCCTCCGTTTTCTTCTTCTTCTTTTCCAGGACACCTGTGGTAAAATGACATAAACCAGTACATTTTATTTTTACAAACTCCTTGATCTAGTAACATAACAATCACAATTAAATTCACTGTCATGCTGTAAACTGTCAAGCATTAAACTTCCCCTTACAGTATTTTTGTTTTTATTTATGAATCTAAGATACCCTCAGCTGTTTATTCCTAAATGTTAGCAAAACTAATCATGATTTTACTGCTTATTAGGACTGTGGTTCTGCTTCACTGCTACTGTGGGTTCAAGGTGAATGCTGCATGTTTGACATTATGGTGAAATTCACTGGACAAAATTATTTGTAACCATAATTCACTGCCTGGCATTTGAAGTTAGGTCAGTTGGCTTAGAAGGCTTTTGTGTAAGCTGTCCGCTTTATTTTAAAAGGGTGAGGACACAGCAGCCATATTGACAATGTGATTTATTTGTGATAGGGAATGCATTGGGATTGCTGCTGACAAACTGTTGGGCTAGTGTAGGTCTTTTAGACGCTGGCAGGTCTACTAAAGTAGATATAAACTCTTACTAACTGTCATGTAGGTAGCAAATGCTGTGCATCTTGGAATATGGATGGAGTAGGGGGAGGTTTGTACCTTTTTTCATCCTTTGCTACATCTTACTGCTGCTGATATCCTGCAGGCTCTTTACAGCCTTTCCCTGTTCACATGCCCTACAGTGATAACAGGCTGCATGTGTTTTTCACAGGGCATATTTCCTAACTGTTGCTGGCTGCAGTTTTTTTTTTCACAGCTCTTTTTATAAATGGTTTCATAAGTGGAATATACCCATGCAATATGCATCAGCACTGATGTTAACAGTTTCATTTGAGGGAGCATGTGACAGGGTGATTTACAGGCAGGAGATTGTGCAAGACAAGGAAAAAACTTTGTCAGTCCATAACGGGGACCTTTATATCATTTATCAGCATCATGAGCTATTGTTTCCTGAAAGCTTGCAATAAAAATAAAAATAGGTTTTACAAGTGATATCATGTTACAGCTTATATGATATTTTAGTGGTCGGGTTTACATCTACTTTGACAAACTGCGGTTGAGTTCTTTGAATTTCATTTTCTTATGTGTCCTGTCTGTGTGCACAAATCGGTACACCCAAAAATCCTTTTATGGACCAATATCTGTCCTCAACAACTGATTAATAACTAGCTCTTCAACTGTCAATAACAGCTACTTCTTTTCTAATAATTGGTGTCTTTTTCACTTTTCCAGATTACAGTTTATAGCTTGGGATGATTAACCGCTTGAAGACCAGGTGTTGATACCCTCTTCCTGGCCAGGCTATTTTTCAGTATTCAGCGCTGTGGTACTTTGACTGACGTTTATTGCGTCATGCAACGCTGTACTGAAATGAATTTTATATCATTTTTTGGGGACAGATAGAGCTTTCTTCTGGTAGTATTTAATCACCACTACGGGTTTTATTTTTTACTATAATTAGGAAAAATTACTGAAAATTTTGAAATGTTTATGTTAGGAAACATTTATTATTACCCAGTTTTTTGGTAAAATATAAAAGACGAGGTCACGTCGGGTAAAGAGACACCAAACATGTCAAGCTTTAAAATTGCACGCACCCGCGAAATCGCAGAAACCTACCATACCCAAAATTGGCCATAGGCGACGCTTTAAAAGCTTTTACCGCTCATCAGTTTAGTGTTATCAGTGAATAATGGCCCTAGAACTATTGCTCTCACTCTGACGTTCGCGGCGATATGTAACATGTGCGGCGTAATGGGCCCAATCGCCTTTTTTGCACGTATGCGCACCCGACGCATGTTTGCATGCGTGTATGTATGGGTGGGGACTTTATTTTTTTAAATTCTTTTTTATGTGTAACTTTAAATTTGGGGGGGAACTTTAATTTTTTTCCGACTAAACTTTATTGCTATCACTTAGGGGGCTAATAAAACACCCCTATTTGAGAGCAAAATATGTGACAGGTCCTCTTTATGGAGACATCAGTGGTCTCCAAGACCCCTAATGTCACCTCGGACCCCCCAAAAGAAGCTGATGAAGCACAGATCTGCTCCATCAGCTTCTGAAGCATTCTTGCAGAGGAGAGGGGACCGGAGGGAGCTCGTGTAACGATCTCCCTCTGATCCCCTGTGACACAGGCATCATGCTGATCCCGGGCTCGCACCGGGCACAGTGGAGGGGGGGGCACCGATCGTTACCCCATGCTCTACACCGGCGGATCGCTTGTATGTTAACAGGGATCGCTGCCTGTTTTTAAATATCGGCCATTTCCCGCTCGCGAGTGTCTGAGCGGACATCTAAAGACGCCGGCTCAGATCTAGAGAGCTACCGGCCGGCCGTTTTTTTACTACTGCTGGCCCAGAGGTAGTTAAAGTGCATCAGGCAGTTGCTACAGATACTCTGTTCAAAAGCTTCCTTCACAGCACCTCAACGCAAGCATTAATACAAAATGTAAAAACACTATGCACCCAAAACACTGCACACCCTCATTCCAGGTACACCACAACCCCTAACTTTCTCCTCATATTCCCAAGTTTTCAAAAATATCAGAGCTACAGCCCAAAGGCATGGTTTAGTAACAATTGGCCAGCACTAATGGAAACGTGACCAGGTAGAATAGGCTATATTCTGGAAACACAAACAAGGAAGGTATTTTGCTACACTAAAAATTAATGTTAAATTACTTAGAATCAATTAAAGTGATATAAAGTTATACGTTTTTTAAGCTATTTCAAATGCTTATTAAATCACTTACAATGGATGCCACTTCTTGATATTTAAATGTTTTAACTTCCTGCAGAATCAGCTGGTCCCCTGAGCACTGGCTCTGATATCCTGTATTGTGGTGGCTCCTTTCCCTTGCAGGGTCCTATGGAGCCACCCTTGTGTGTGCTATTAAGCTCTGTGTTTCTCTACAAACACACAATCACTGCAAGGGAAAACCAGAACCCTGTCCCCTGCTCCTCCTCCCCCATCTCCAAGTTAGGGATGGACTGCTGCTGGAGATTGTGCTTACCTTTGTGATCGTGTTCTCAACCGGAAGTTCAGGGAAGCCAATCTGAGAGAATTGGGGTTAGCTGTTCGGAAACACGATGACTGTAAGTGTTTGGGCCAAACTTTTAAGAAATACTTTACTGGGCCATGTATATTTGTTTTCTCTGGATTCATAATTCATAATTCACTTTGAGAGTTAAATACTACTTTAGGGGGAACAACGTACCAGCAGCAGGGCAATTTTGTGAGCAGATTGAAGAGGGAAAAGGGTTAGACAGAAAGGAAGGTGTTTTGTTACACTAAAATAAAAGTGTACTGTCCCAGAGACACTTCATTTTTATACCTTTTATGGTTCAACCATGCTTATTATAAAACATTCTATGTATCCAGTAAGAAAGGCAAGAGGTTCTAGTTTCTTGTTATAGGACTTCTCTTAAAAAAAAAAAAAAAAAATGTATTAAATTTATAGTAACATGCAGTGGGTGTTTGGTTGTCTTCTGTTATCCAGGTTTGATTTGTTTTATTATAGGCAATATTAAAGACCTCTCAGTTACAAGGTCAGAGCGGTGTTGCTGTTGCTTTCATGTCCTGACTGATAAAACACTGTCAACTGTACAATATTCTTTTTGTCCCCCATGTCCCCATGGGACTGCCCAGGTCCATATGCCCTTTTTTGAAATTGGTCAGAATTTGGTATCAAGAATTGACCCCATAGACTTCAATGGGATTTGCTGCTAAGTTTGGGTTTCATGAAACTTCAGAGGATTTGACAAACACCTCCTGAGAATCAAACCCTGGCAGATTAACTTGTCCCTACTGCTCATTCTCAAGTAATACAATGTCATTAACACGCAAGGGCATAAGCAAATGCCATTTAACCATCTAAGTAGTAGTAGGCATGCCAGAGATTCTGAAAAAGGATCATAAGCCTCTCCATTTTATTGTTATTGCAAAAAAACTTCCTGTCGATAGCCGTTCAAGAATTAGCATTTTTAAAATATCAGTTTCACAACAAATGACCAAGTAATGCAATCCAGCAAGCATTGTAGCTGTGCTGAAGTCATAAAGTTCACTCTGATTACCTTAATCTAGCCCCTTGGGACCAAAATGTAGACAAAACATCACATGGTCAATGGGAGTGTACCTTCTGAAGGCTTGAAGTTGTAAAATCACCTTACTTTTTCTATTGCCTGGATTATCAATCACATTCAAACTTTCAAGGCAGGTTTTTTGTATTGCAAAACAAAATAAACATTCGCTGAGCACATAACCTTACATGCTAAAGCTCTCATTTCCAGAAATCTGCAAATTCTGAGAAAGATCAGCAACCATTTAAATGATTTCTTTAGCAGTGAATTGATAAGGAATTAAGATTATAATCAAATTGCTCACCTCTCTTACAAATAATCAAGGTTCCCACAAGTCCAGAGTATATCTCTCGTGGAGATTCATAGTGTGAATGATAAATCCTGGTAATGCAGTCATCGTCCCATTCAGTTGGGCCTTGATCTTCCACAACTTCCCACCTGTAAGTTTGTAACATGCCAGGCTGGACATGATCATCGTTTTTGTCATTTCCTGATGTATTGTCTGGATAAAATGCTCCTGTATATACAATTGCAGTATTAAAAATAAATCCAACTTCTACTCAATAACCATTTATGCTTAGAATCATGTTCTGTTATACCCTAATGTTGGCTTGGATCAAGAAGTTAAAACTAGCTGAGTTTGGAATATTAAAGAAATGCAGACTTTCAAGCTGTTCTGATTTACATAATACGTTGTTTTATGTCAAGCATTTCTCCTGTTTGGATTACTATACTGTTTTAGACAAATTGGGTGGGCAATTTCGTCCCTCCCGCTGTTGTGGGATCCCTGGGTAAATTCTTGTTCTTTCCTAGTTTCCTGTCCTTTGTTCAGCCAATTGTCCTTACAAATGGGATTATTAACCATTCCTGCTAAAAAATGGCAATATCAGGCAACAATCATCTACAGGGTTATTCACAAAAGGGTGAAGAGTTTGGAGAAGGCAGGAGAAGTGAACAATCTAGGACAGCATAGCTGAACTGGAAAGTGAGCTGAATTGGAGAATATTTCCAAATCAGCTATATTGTCCTAGATTGTTCACTCCTCCTGCCTTCTCCAAACTCTTCACCCTTTTGTGAATAGCCCTGTCAATGTTTATGGGTAGCTAAAACTCTAAATGTAATAGTTTAGAATTGTCTATTTAGATTGTGAAATATGTTTGTAAATTGTTTCAGGTTAGGACAAATCTGGGTTTATCTCTGATGTGTTTACTATGTATTGATTTGTGCTTGAAACCTGCACTCCCACACTGTTAACATACTGTAGATACGGACATTTTTTGTATGGCCGGTTTTAGGGTACCCATTACTGTATGTTAGTGTCAATTTATTTTCAAGTCACTACTGCAGCTAGGTACTATTTTAGGTCTATAGAAGTGGGACATTTTATGATCCTATACACAGATTATATACATAAATAAGCATAATTCTTGAAGTTGTGACAATATGCCCTAGTAGAGTATTCTGGGATGGGTACATGTTGCTGCCTGATAATGGTGGTTCACTAGAGGCTCCAGTATGAGGCTGCTGTCATGGCAGATCTGGAGTTCTGTTTGCTAGGGCTCTGGAATCTGGCCAACCAAATTTTTTTGAAAGGTTCCTAGGCTACCGCTCCACTCCAGGTTTACCTGGCAGTGACAGGTAGATGTAAAACGTGCATGAAGCGCTGCTGCATGATGGAAATATTCTGTGTGGGTGCTCCTTGGAAGTGCAGGGAAAACTAGAAAGAACTCATCAGCTGCATTTCCTTTTACTCTGTGGATAAGATCGGTTCTATAATTCCTCTAAATTCTCTATTTTAACAGGCAAGGGGTCACCATGGTTCGTACACTAGAGTAAATGGAAAAAATGTGTGTCTCTGTGACCAATATAAAATGGAAACTTCCATTTCAGTGGACACATTTGGGTTTACTTGAATTTGTAATGGCTTGTGTGATCAATTGTGCCCATTCCTATATCTCATGCTAAAACTAGAGAGCGGGTTTTTTTTCTTTGCTTCGCTATTAGCTTCCCTAGAGTGATCGAGTTTTTTGTCACCCAATTCTTCAAGCCTTACTAATTACAGCATATCCTATTCATTGGTGAAGAACAGGTAGCACATAACTATTCCCGAGACACCCCCACAGGGTCCCATAATATCAAATGTGCCTTCACATGTTGTATTGCCTTTATTTTTTTCTTCGTCTGTCTGTTGAAGGTGCATACTGTGCACCTTAATCTGAATATTTTTGCAATGTATAGCAATTGGATGTTTGCATAATTGGACTAAAATACATGGTTTATTATAATTGTTAAATTATATAGATATATTAGCAAAAAAGCATTTTTACCTTCATTTCCTTTTGTGTATCGCACTCCATGTGGATGAAACCCATACGCTCTGGAAGCATTGTTTAAAAGATGAATAGTGATATTGTCACCAATTTCTGCTCTCATGATGGGACCCACAATTCCCTGCCAGCTCGGCTTTTTCTTTTCTTCCATGTATGAGCCATTTGTGTATTCAATATAAAGAGCCTTTTTATATTTTCTTCCAATTCTGTTGGAGTCCTGTCGTAAATAGGTGCTGGCATGTCTAGAAAGAACAGCATAGTGTATTTCAGTGAGCTTACCGGAACATTGAATCTATCTTATTGAAGTTAAGCACACAAAATGATTCTTATAGTTTATGCAAAAGCTGTGAAAGTGTGGTAATCTGTGGAAATTTACCACAGTTTATTTATTGACAGTTATTGGCAGTAATCACACCCCTTTTAGTCATAAACCTAAATGAATCTACTGTAGCTTATTGTGCCGCACATGTTGCATATCACCACAAACGTCAGAGTGTGAGCAATAATTCTAAGGTCACAAATAAAATGAAAAAAGTAAAATAACACAATTTTTTTTTAAAGTCCCACCCCCCCACATACACACGCAAACATGCGTCGGGTGCGCCTACGTCTATTCTGCCTATTGTGACACACATGGTACACGCAATTTTAAAGCTTGACATGTTTGGTGTCTATTTTCCTGACGTGACCTCGTCTTTTATATTTTACCAAAAAATTGGGGTGGTAACAAATGTTTCATAACATTTCATAGTGAAACATGTGTTTTTACAAAATTCAGGTTAGTTTTTTGTTCTATAGTAAAAGATAAAAACCCCAGTGGTGAATAAATACCACCAAAACAAAGCTCTATCTGTCCTCAAAAAATGGTATAAAATTAGTTTCAGTACAGTGTCTCATGACGGAATAAATATCAGCCAAAGTACTGCAGCGCCGAATACTGAAAATTGGCCTGGCCAGGAAGGGGATTTAACACCCCGGTCTTCAAGTGGTTAAGAAACTCATAATGCTCTGTAAACTTTCAGCCATTGGTACACAGTACAAAAAGTAAATAAACAAAATGTACCCAAAACTGTTATAATTTCATTTTAAATGTTTTCATTAGGAAGGTAGCTTCTCCAGTCAGAGTTCATGACTCTGTCCACTCCTCGAAGTAGAGTCTACTGATCCTGCTTTATAATGGGAGTCTCATTATCTTGCTGCACACTGTATTGTAAAATAAAGAATATTAACGTCTTAACAGAAAAAAGTGAGGCCCCTGTGGAAAGATGCTGGCATGTGGGCAGAACTGAGAGGTCCAGAAAAGTAATTGCTGGACACCTCATATGAGATGCTGTTGGGGGATTCCAACCATAGGTAT